TTTTGCATTTTCTAAAGAAGCATTTCTATAAAACTTGATCTCTGTGACATCTCAAAGCTTTCGTCACTTGTTTTCAGTCCTTTAATGGAAACCAGTTTGTAGGTCCCCCCCCTTCTGTGTTTTACTTGGCTCCAGGAGGAAAACAAACCGGTTCTGGGGCTGCTGACAGTGAAGGCGCGGCGAGATGCTTGATCACTCGCAAGCAGTGTTTGTTCGGGTGAAAGCGAATGAGGATGAATGTTTTCACACTGTGGAAGTAGATGCATTATTGGTAGTGGATTCACCGAAGTGGTCCTGTCAGTAAGAATAGACCTGTCCTGGGAGGCCCATCAGTGACCTGAGGGTGGTAGGAGGGCTGTCCTTGGGCAATGCTGTTCAATAGATCTGAGGTTGAAGATCAACAACATGAATAAGTCCAGAGACAAATGTATTCTAATGTAAGAACCGGAAGAAGACCAAAGAAGGAAGCTGTTGTATCCGTCCACCTTACAGCTTGCCCGCAGTTCATGAAGGGTGATGGCACCACCCTACACTCAAAGGAAAATAGGGATCTTCACAATATAGTGATAATCGTGTCCTTATTCACAAAGCTCACCCAAGGATAAAGGACCTTCACCCAACCACCTTGGTATAATGATAATCTTGTCCTTCACAAAGCTCACCTAAGTGGTTGGGTGAAGATCCTTATCCTTCATTATAGTGATGATCTTGTCTTTATTCACAAAGCTCACCTTAGAATAAGGATCTTGCCCAACCACTTAGGTGTGCTTTGTAAAGGATAAGATTTTCATTATACCGATGTGGTTGGGTGAATGTCTTTATCCTTAGGTGAGCTTTGTGGATAAGGACCTTCACCCAACCACCTCGGTATAGTGATAATCTTGTCCTTATTCACAAAGCTCACCTAAGGATAAGGATCTTCACCCAACCACTTAGGTGAGCTTTGTTGAATACGGACAAGATTATCACTATACTGAGGTGGTTGGGTAAAGGTCCTTATTCTAAGGTGAGCTTTGTGAATAAAGACAAGATTATCACTATACTGAAGGATAAGGATCTTCACCCAACCACTTAGGTGAGATTTGTGAATAAGGACAAGATTATCACTATACCGAGGTGGTTTGGGGTTATGATGCTTATCCTTAGGTGAGCTTTGTGAATAAGGATAACATTATCTTTATACCAAGGTGGTTGAGTGAAGATCCTTATCCTTTGGTATAGTGAGGATCTTGCCCTTATTCACAAAGCTCACCTAAGGATAAAAGACATTCACCCAACCACCTCAGTATAGTGATAATCGTGTCCTTATTCACAAAGCTCACCTGAGGATAAGGACCTTCACCCAACCTCTTAGGTGAGCTTTGTGAATAAGGGCACGATCATCACTATACCGAGGTGGTTGGGTGGAGGTCCTTTTATCCTTAGGTGAGCTTTGTGAATAAAGACAAGATTATCACTATACTTAGGTGGTTGGGTGAATGTCTTTATCCTTAGGTGAGCTTTGTGAATAAGGATAAGGACCTTCACCCAACCACCTCGGTATAGTGATGATCGTGCCCTTATTCACAAAGCTCACCTAAGTCGTTGGATGAAGGTCCTTATCCTCAGGTGAGCTTTGTGAATAAGGACAAGATCATCACTATACCGAGGTGGTTGGGTGAGGGTCCTTATCCACAAAGCTCACCTTAGGATAAAGGTCCTTCACCCAACCACCTCGGTATAGAGATAATGTTGTCCATATTCACAAAGCTCACCTAAGTATAAGGATCTTCATCCAACTACCTCCTATAGGTTGAACTCAAAGGACTTGTCTTTTGTTTTCAACCTGGCTAACTATGTAACCTCGGTATAGTGATGGTCATTCATTCATATAAAGCTTCAGACATTGCAAGCCAACCTTTTTGGGGCCTCTCGGGATCCCTTTTTCAAGCTAGAGTGATTTTGTTTTCCAAATGAAGCCACCATGCTTTAGTGGCCAAAGCTCCCCTCCATCAGGGCTTATAATGGTGAAACCATGTATAAGGCTTGTTTGGAGCATCCAATGTTATTGGTATTTTGACCAGTTTAGTATTAAAGCTCAGGACTTGTCAGCTGCTGGTTTGGGCAACCTGAAGACTTGTATGAAGACTTTACATATGGCATTCACACACTTCCATTCATTCTATATGACAGACAATGTCCATTTGTTGGGCACAAACTGTATTATGAGCTTCCTGTCTTGTCCTGTAGGCCAATAGTATGATGGACTCACTCATTGTATCTAGAGGTGAGCAATACACAAGGTGCTGGGGGATGGGAATAGACTTAGGTGGAAAAAGAAGCCAAAAAGGTAACAAAAATATGACCTGAGCCCTATTCCAGGACTTTTCACCCTTGGTGAGTTTGGGGAGCCCCCTTGTTCAGGGAGTTTAGGCCCTAAGTAGTGCTCCTGGTCCTGCCCATCGTTGCTCATGTCTTTTGTCATTTGGACCTGTTGCAGCCTTTTGCCCAGCTTGGCCGACCTTCTGTTGTAATAATTGTGCGGTGAAGTTGTCATTGGGGAGGTTTGCCTCTGTGTTGTATTATAGGAAGAGTACCTGTCTTATGCCATCTGCTCACTCTCTGCTTTTGTCTCTGGCAGGTTCAAAAACGACTGATCTAAAAATGCAGGACTTCTTCGTCACCGTTTTCCTGATGCTTGCAAGTACGTACTATCCTTCACTTGACTCTCCTTGTCCGTTCTTCTACCTACAGGCCTTCCCTCAACTCTGCAGTCCTTTCTTCCTACCTATAGGCCTTCCCTTGACTCTCCCTGTCCATTCTTACTACATGCAGACCTTCCCTCAGCTCCCCCCTTCCATTCTTCCTATGGAGACACCTTCCCTCATCTCTCACCATTCATTCTTCCTACCTACAGGCCTTCCCTCGACTTTCCCTGTCCCTTCTTCCTATGTATAGACCTTCCCTCCACTATCCCCGTCTGTTCTTCCTATGTATAGACCTTCCCTCCACTATCCCTGTCTGTTCTTCCTTTGTGCAGACCTTTTCTCAACTCTCCCCGTATGTTCTTCCTACCAACAGACCTTCCCTCAACTCTCCCCATCTGCTCTTCCTACCTACAGGCCTTCCCTTGACTCTCCCCATCTGCTCTTCCTACATATAGGCCTTCCCTTGACTCTCCCAATCCGTTCTTCCTACCTATAGGCCTTCCCTTGACTCTCCCTATCCATTCTTCCTACCTACAGGCCTTCTCTTGACTCTCCCTATCCATTCTTCCTACCTACAGGCCTTCCCTTGACTCTCCCAATCCGTTCTTCCTACCTACAGCCCTTCCCTTGACTCTCCCATCTGCTCTTCCTTGGTATTGGATTCTTTCTAACGCAGTTTTCTCCGCTTTGATGTTGTCCAGTAAATAGTTGGCGCTCTCGGTCACCTGATCCTGTTTGGGGGGGTTTCATCATTGTCAGTCTGTATAGTAAATTTCACCTTTCTTCTGTGTTTCAGCTGCTCCCTGTCTCCGCGCTTCAGATGACGTGGGTGAGTACACAACCTCCTACTCAACGTGTCCTTCTCATTAGAGGAACATGGGGGCTTGCCATTAGTAATGTTCCTTGGTAAAATTATCACTTCCTGGCTGTCATGCTGGTCCCCTGGCTTTAATACATTGAGACCATGGAACAAGTATCTAGATGTGGACTTCTCACTTCCTGATCTGTGTCGTGACTTGAAGTATTGAAGCCATGGGGAATAAATGTACATGATTGGGGGACCATATTAGATCATTACATAAGCAGGTTTGGCTTCCGGCCCAGTGTTCCTGTGCAGTCCTGTTGTCTGCACTGCCTGTTACACAGATGGCCATGAGAAATCTCAATACAAACTACAGCTGTGAAAATATGGAACAGCAATGGATTAAAAACTTTTCGTTAAAGGTGACAATCAGGGCTCATGCACACGGTGGGTATACCATGGAGGATCGTGCTGGCCAAATACAAGGTCGTTCTGCATCTGTGCCGCCGCTGCCGACTCATTGTTTATGTTTACACCTCTCCCTTGGCCTTGAATTAGACATTCACTAGACTGTGGCGGTGCATGTGCAGAATGACCTCGTCTTTCAGCCATTCTGACTGACTGAAGGCCTTGGCCGTTCTGGACTTGTGTCGCTGCTGCCTACATATTGTTTACGCTTCTCCCCCAGCCTTGAATCATCATTCAAAAGACAGCGGCAGTGCAGGCACAGAATGACGTCGGCTTATAGCCATTCTGACTGACTGATGGCTGTGGCCCTTCCATGCCGCCGCAGCCGCTCCTGCCTGCACATTGTTTATGTTTACACCTCTCATATGGCTCATTCACTTGGCGGTGGCAGTAACAAAGGAGCAGAATTACCTTATTGTAGCTATTCTGAATGACCGAAGGCCATGGTCATTCTGCACGGGTGTCACTGCTGCTGCCTGCGCCTTGTTTATGTTTACACCTCTCCTATGGCTCATTCACTAGGCGGTGGCAGCAGCAAAGGAGCAGAATTACCTTATTGTAGCTATTCTGAATCACCGAAGGCCATGGTCATTCTGCACGGGTGTCACTGCTGCTGCCTTGTTTATGTTTGCACCTCTTTCCCCATCCCTGAATCATCATTCACTAGACCATGGCGGTGCGGGCACAGATTGACCTCAGGCTTTAGCAATTCTGACTGGCTGTGGCCTCTCTATGCTGCCGCCGCTGCTACCTGCAGATTGTTTATTTACTCCTCTCCCCCAGCCCTGAATCCTCATTCACTGGACAGCAGCACTGCGGGCACAGAATAACCTTGGGCTGTAGCCATTCTGACTGACGGCTGTGGCCTTTCTATGCCGCCGCTGCTGCCTGCTGTTTACACCTCTGCTCCTCCAGCTCTGGACTCGTCATTCAGTTAGTAAATGGGGCAACACAGGCGCACAATGACTTCAGCCTTTAGCCATTCTGAATGACCGAAGGCTGTGGTCATGCTGTACTGTTGCTGCTGCCTGCACATTGTTTATGTTTACATCTATCCCCACCTAGCTCTGAATGAATAGACAGTGGCAGCTTGCATGGCCATTCATTCATGTAAACGCTGGCAGAAACACTTCCACGCATGCCGAATAAAATCTGGTCAAAATCCGATCGTGGGCGCCAATTCTTGTTTTTGGTTTACGCAGCTCAACACGATCAACCAAAACTCAGCTGTGTGAATGAGCCTGTAGCGTACAATGCTGCGGCGTTCAGATCAGTATTAAAAGGGCGCATTCCGGATCTGAACGCGGCGTATTGTATGTCCGTGTGCATGACCCCCAAGACGTCGGGCTGCGCCCTCGCTGATCATACACTGTGTCCAAACTCTCATGACGGTTTATAAATAACACATTCCTGTTTTTGTGTTCTGTTCCTTAGATGACCTTCAGTTTAAGTACGGTGAGTACGAACTTTATATTTGATATCTTCACAGGCTGTATTAATGTTTTTACATTATTTGTTTTTGCTGGTGGCAAAATAATTCCGTGGGGCTCATTCACATGTGCGTGCACATCCATAAAGCGTGCACTCCTGTGCAAAGACCGGCTCCCGGGAGGGACAAGGGCTACATGTAGTTAGAGTTACATAGTATTGGAGTTTAAATAAAGACACAGGTCCATCAAGTTCAACCTAGTGTGTGTGTGTGTATGAGTCCACGTGTGGTCTAGTATTTAAGAGTACCTGTCCCCCTGTATGTTACTGTCTCTGAGGAAGATATCTAATTGATTTTTTTAAATGATTCAATATTCTCTGCTGCTTCCACTGCTTGTGGAAGAGAATTCCAAAATGTAACCACTCTGACTGATGAGAATCCCCTACGCCCCTTTGTGGTTAAATCTTTTCTCCACCAGTTTTAGGTGGTGGCCTCTAGTCCTTGTTATGGAGTTTACAGTAAAAGGTTTATTCCTGATGTTGCCGTCACCACCCAACATTTTATACATCAGAATCATGTCCCCTCTTACTCTCCTCACTTCCAGTGTGAACATGTTTAAGTTTAGCAACCTTGTCTCATAGCTTTGGTCCTCCGGCCCCTTAATGAGTTTGGTTGCCCTTCTCTGGAGTCTTTCCAGCTCCAGGACATCCTTCCTGTGGACCAAAACTGGACTGCGTACTCCAGATGAGGCCGAGCCAGCGATCTATAAAGTGGCGGAATTATCGCTTTATCTCTACAGTACATTCCCTTCTTAATACAAGACAGAAGCATGGGCCTGGCAAGGCAAGAAAGGGGGGGGAAGGACGAACGAGTGTCCCCTCCCTGCACCATACCTGGCCACATGCCCCATCGGCATGGGGACAAGGTGCTATTCCAGGTGGGGGGTCCTGGAAAAGCAGCCTCCCATTGCCAAGGGCATGTGGCCTGGTATGGCACAGGGAGGGGAGCTGCTCCCTCGTTCCCTGTCCTGCCCTGCTAGGCCTGTGCTCGGCTTCTCCACGCTTTGGCTGTGTGTTCGGCTAAGCCGAGCCAAAGCATATGCATTTGGCTCGGCTGAGCTGTTTGGCTGCTGCATGGGCTACGGCAGACCCCTGGTTTTGGCTGAACCAAAGGGCTCCGGCGGCCGAAGTGAGCCGAAGGATTACCCTAAGCTTCAGCTTAATCCTTCGGCTCTTTAGTGAATAACCCCCTAAGTGTTAAGATGACAATAAGGGGTCAATTATTTAAACAAAAAATAGAAAAAAGCTTTGCTCGGTCCAGCTAGACTCCATGAACATTCCTTCTGTGTGAATTGACCAACTATTGTGAGAATGTGGCAAATTTAATGTTTTTAAGGCTATGTTCTCTTCTGGTCGAATGTACTGCAAATATGAGACGTAATAAATGGGGAAAATACCCCATTATGGCCACTAGATGGCGCTGAGGATCATAGGAAATGAATGCATCATAGTAACGAGGTACAATGTAACAATTCTAGAGAACGCTGGAGGGAATCGGAGATGGTTGCAACCTTTTAAGGCTTTTTCCTCTTCTGGCCGAATGTTCTTCATATATTATATGAAGTAGTGAGTGGGGAAAATCCCCCATTTATAGCCACTAGATGGCGCTGAGGATCATAGGAAATCCATCTTAGTATCAAGAAATGCAATGCAACAATTCGGAAGGAATCTGCAGGTAAATGTAACCATTACTACTACTACTACTACTACAGAGATCTTTGACTAGAGGAAGTAGTCTTAAAGGTCAAGTTGACCTTTTCTACCACAATTCAGGGTATACCAGGAAACGGGGTGCTACTGTCCATACCTTGGTACGGACATGGACAGCTGGAGCATTGCACCCACCATCCACCGATCCCTGTTGCAATGCTTTATTGGCTGTTGGACATCTACATAGTGATCACTGGCTGAATTTACCATTGAACCATGATGATGGCTTTTCATGCAATTCTATGGACAGTCCACTAGAGGGCCCAGGGCAGAAGAGCTGCTGTATCGCCCTCTAGTGGATACTCCATTGGAATATATGGGGAATCAATCAGGCTGGTGACAGTAGTAGCTCAGCCTTGTTTTGGTGGGTGATCTCTTTGCAAGGTCTTAGACATTAGTGAAGCCTAACCATGGGACTGTTAACTCCGTACAATATGGAGAAGGCACTTGTGGGTAGAAATGATTTTCGGGACTCGGCTAATCGGAGGGCAGTAAGAGGAGCATTTCCTTTTAGCTCTTCACATTACTGGTGCTGGAACGAAACTCGGCTGTGTACTGATCCCGCTTTCTCTTCTTGCAGATTATGAGTCCCTAAAGGTGGCGGGTCTGATTATGGCGGGCGTCCTCTGCGCGATGGGAATCATCATTCTGCTGAGTAAGTACCGCTAAAGACGAGCTGCGCAAAATTTACATTTGTGTTCTGGACTCTGCGTCTGTCACTTTGTAAATAAAATATGTAAATATAAAATATGTAAATATTTGTTATGTAAATCTAATACTTTGTATTGTGGAGCTCCGAGTGCTGGAGGCTGGAAATACCTTTTACATATTCAAATTATTGCTGCGCAGAATGAAAAGCAGCAGACTGATCACTGGGGGAGGGGAGACTGAGGAAATGCTTCCTCCTGCCTGCAGCAGACTGATCACTGGGGGAGGGGAGACTGAGGAAATGCTTCCTCCTGCCTGCAGCAGACTGATCACTGGGGGAGGGGAGACTGAGGAAATGCTTCCTCCTGCCTGCAGCAGACTGATCACTGGGGGAGAGGAGCAGAGCAGCCATCAGAAATGTTGGGTCCCCTTACACGGCTTTAGGCCAGGCCCATCCCCCGCACCGCCGCCACACTGAGCGAGTCACATCAGTCTCTGTACAGAGGAGCTGACACTCCCCTCCCCCCACAGTCACATCGGTCTCTGTACAGAGGAGCTTACACTCTAATGTCCCCTCCCCCACAGTCACATCAGTCTCTGTACAAAGGAGCTTACACTCTAATGCACAATGGAACCAGCTGTAGGCTGCAAATCCCAGCAATGCAGAACAGTATATGAATTGGAGTCTGGGCTTAGTGACGTGCTGGACGCAGGGCCCACCAGAGACCGCACACAGCCCACCATAGATGCTGCACAGCCCATCTGAGACTCTCTATGGTGGGCTCTGCAGGGGTCTCAGGTGGGCTGGTCGGGGCTGCATCCCCCTCCCTGCTCCTCTTACCCGCTCCCAGTGCCTGGACACCTGGCCTCCTCTGCCGCTGGACGTGACGTGATGTCACTAGCGGCAGGTCCGAGATCGGAACACCGGCGGCGCTGCTGGGGCCAGGCCTCCTTTCGAAGCTGCTGGATAGGCGCTGCTGGGGTCAGGCTTCCTCCGGCGCTGTGGGGGCCCGGCCGCTTCCTCGCCTGTCACCGTCGCCGGATACCCATGCGAGGGTCCCGGGCCCCCCACAGGCTGCCCAGGCTCCTTACATGAGTATCGGCCGTACCCAACTGATGGCGGCTCTGGAGAGGAGACTGAGGAAATGCTTCCTCCTGCCTGCAGCAGACTGATGACATCACCCTAGCCTAGGAAAAGTCATTGATTGGAGCTCAGGATTGCTTTTGTGGGTGGAGCTTCTCCTGGTGTATCTTGTGACATTGGTGACAGGTCCTCTTTGCTGGGTCTCTGTATTCATTGGACGTCTTTATTATTTCAGGTGGGAAGTGCAGATGCAAATTTAATCAGAATTCGGAGTGAGTATTCGGCTTCCTCTGTTTGTTCTTCTTCCTCTATAAACATGCTGATCGGGCGGTTTGGTTGACCTCTCTCTCTCTCTCTCTCTCTCTCTCTCTGTTTTGTCTTCAGCCAAAGGCACCGAGCCCAGGAACAGCAGCTCATCACTCCAGGTAAATGAATCCACTTGGAGTTTGCTCCTATAGCCATCCTAGTGCAGCCGGTTGCACCTCATCCAAGTCGTTTCTCTATGAAGTCGTATCAGAAAACCGAGCCGTCCGCGTGGCTGGCCTCCTCATACGGCACGGGTAGGCGGGGGGCCGGTGTTTGCATTATCCCGGGGCCCCCGGCAGCTTCTGTCCTGTAATCCCTTCCATAAGGGCCCCAGTGAGGAGTGGAAGCGAGACCCTCTGAGTGGGGTGGTGCAGAGTGCTGGGCCCCAGTGAGGAGCGGAGACCCTCCTATAGGTGGGAGTAGTAGGGTGGAGTTCTTCAGGGGCCCCGGTGAGGAGTGGAGACCCTCTATAGGTGAAGTAGTGGTACAGAGTTTTCCAGGGTCCCTGTGAGGAGCAGAGACCCTCGACTGGTGGAGTAGTGGTGCGGTGCTCTCTGGGGGCCCCGGTGAGGAGCAGAGACCCTTGAAAGGTGGATTAGTAGGGTGGAGTTCTTCAGGGGCCCCAATGAGGTGCGGAGACCCTCTATAGGTGGAGTAGTGGTGCCGTGCTCTCTGGGGGCCCCGGTCAGGAGCGAAGACCCTCTATAGGTGGAGTAGTAGGGCGCAGTTCTCTGGGGGCCCCGGTGAGAAATGGGTGGAGTAGTGGTGAGGATTTTTCTGGGCTCTCCGGTGAGGAGCGTAGACCAGACCCTATATAGGTGGAGTAGTAGGGCGCAGTTCTCTGGGGGCCCCGGCGAGGGGCGGGGCCCCTCCATAACAGACTGGTATTCGCTGTGTGTGGGATGATGGTGATTTGCAGCGTCTCACTTTGTGTCTCTCTCTCTCTTGCAGGAAGTGCGAGTTGCTGAACACGACGACGTCTCCTCGCAAGTTTTTTTTTTTAAAGTTCCGTTCTAACATTTTGCGCGGGGCCCCCCGTCCCCCTTCCTCCTCCCCTCCCCCTCTTTGTAAACTATTTTCTGTAACATTTTTAACTACTAATTCAATAAAGTCGGTTTGTTTTCTCACAGCGTGTGTTCTCCTTTAAAGCGGTTGGGGGAGGAGGGGGGCGGGGCCGTCCTCCAGTTGGGATGGGAGGAGTTTATTGGTTGGAATATTGTTGCAGCCACTTAATGATCTGACGTTTTCGGGGCATATTTATAAAGCTGTGAATCTGACATTCAATGCGGGTGAATCTTGGTGCATGTGTTTAAATGACAGTGATTTGTTCACCACCAGTGAATGTTTGGTCACATTCACTGCTTTATAAAGTCTCCCCCTGTAACTTTTTTTCTGCATTGCAATGAACAGCTGACATGAGAGAGAGCAGCAATGATTGGTCCTTACTACAGGAGGGGGCGGAGACAAGACCAGTCACCCTGCACAAGGAGAGAGAGCGGCAGTGACCGGTCTTTATTACAGGAGGGGGCGGAGACAAAACCAGTCACCCTGCACAAGGACAGAGCAGCAGTGAGCAACCTTTATTACAGGAGGGGGCGGAGACAAGACCAGTCACCCTGCACAAGGAGAGAGAGCGGCAGTGACCGGTCTTTATTACAGGAGGGGGCGGAGACAAGACCAGTCACCCTGCAGAAGGAGGGACAGCAGCAGTGACAGGTCTTTATTACAGGAGGGGGCGGAGTGTTTTTATTGGGATATAAAGTTTTTCCTGTTTTGTTTTATTCTGAACTTATTACCACAAATAAGAATATAAAACAATTTCTCCTCCGTATAACGTTGCGGAGACGTCGGGTGTCGGGAACGTTTATAAACAATGGTTTATTTCCTCTCATTGTCCAGATTTGACACTTCGGTCTCCTAGGTAACGGGAAGTCTTTGTAACAAGGAGACGAGATGGAATATTTGATCGGAACCACGGCGTCCGCGTCCAGGAGAGGAAAACAAAACCCTCCCACGCGTCTCACGTCAGCGTTACAGCGGCCGGTCCTCTTGCTGGGTACATGCCAATAGTGTATCCGTGTGACCCTTCCCGGTGCAAATCACAGTACATGACAATGCCTTCATCTGCTTTTCTCTCTGGAAGGACGGCACCATCTTTGTTCTGGCATCATCCAGGGTCCACCATCTACTTCCTGGACTGAGATGGCGGCTCAGAGATGAAACAATCCTGGTGCCTGAGCAGTTCTTGGCTGTGTTCACAAATGTCGGAGACCCTCACCTCTTTCCCCCCTTGCTCTTCTCTCTCCCCCCCTTCTCTTCTCTCCTCCCCCCCCCTTCTC